ACACCTTTGGATGAATACAAGATAACAACTGAGAAACCAGTTTCCTAACCAACATTCTGATTCTTTGTTGACAACCTCGATATCTCTCGCACATTACATGCACGAAATCACTGACATTTTGTCACTAAGAGTTTCCAGCCACTCATCCACACCATCCCGAGTGAACGCCTGCCTTCTACATAAGCTAAATTCGATCGTCGTTCTGACCACTTCCGACATCCTGACATAGCCTCTCGCCGAAGACGACGGCTTGGCCACCTCCAATGATGTGGATTTACTTACACAACCTCATTAGTGGACTCAATTCACAAACCTAAGGCTCTGCAGTCCATCTAAACAAACGCCAAACGAAGTCCATTTATAAGAAACAAATATTTGTCCTAAAACAGACAATCCTGAAATTAGGGAAATACCTAAGTGTACTTTTATTTCACAATCCTGCCTTCCACAGGACTGACACAGGTGGTAATATCTATCATATGACAAAATATCTATCCTGACACACCTCCCGTGTGACATTTTCCTGTACTAATCATGTCGCAAAAATGCAAGATGAAATCCGCCAACACCACATTGATCAAACCAGTTACAATGCTAAGTTTTTGATATAAGTATAAAACTTGGACACTGTGGTAGAGTATAACTCCATTATGCATAAGATTTTATTTTGATAAATCACACAGTGGTGTTATACAGTAATATTAACTGATGCTAAGTTCTTCTCAAGAAATTACAACAATTTATCTTATCCCAAACAATCCTACCAGCAACTAACTGATTACACTACCAACCCTAGATTTTTATTTGAACTCAGTAAGTCACCTTGAAAGTCTGTCGACGTTGTAAATACGTCGACCAGCCGTCTACGCTCCACGTATAAGCTAACGTTCAGTGATGTTGCATTGCTTCTAAAACATACACCAATATTTGTGGAGGACCTGTAGAAGACTATACTTTGTCCACGTCTAGAACGCTTCTATCACCTAAATAAACCAGACGTTGAAGTCAAACCATGTTACCTTGACCAATACGTCCTTGCTAAAATCAAAAAATAAGCACACTGACACTGGATATTAGTAACTATTGGAAAGCAATGGAATTGCCATGAAAATATGGCTAGCAGCATTATGTATACACGAGAAGTACTCAGAATTATGGATGGCCTCAGTCTTCACCAGCTCAGCTGTAGGACTCAACCTACTAACCGGGCGTTGATTTCCTGACAATGACTGAAGTGAAAATTAATAATGCCTATTTATCACTGGATTCATTCGTTTACTGAAGTCTTTCAACACACTAACAACATGATCGTGAATAATTTTCCACCAGTAGACAACATAAGATTTACTCAATATAACAAATGTATATTTTATCAAACAAAAAAAAAAACTAAGAGTGGGAACAATTTCAACAGGGGATTCCGATTGAATCCAAACATGAAGAGACGTGAAAATGAATACTGCGAATATATAATACAATACAATACTATTAAGAATATTAATAATCTATAAAGTGAAAAACGGAAATTGTGATGACAAATACAACCCGCTTTTTCAGTACCATTCAAAGTTTAATAGTCAGTTTACAGAATGACTTCGAATCCATCCGAGAGCGATCTGAAATTCGACGGCCAATTACTATTGGTGCGTTACGAAGTGTGTGTGTGTGTTTGATCAATTCCAAAAACAGAATGCACGAAAGTTAAATTATCATTGGGTTTTCCCGTCGAAAGACACAAAAGAAACCATAGTAAATCATCGTTACAAATAAATACACGGACACACTAAGCTATAATAAAGCGATCAACTTTAAAAATCAATACAAAGGGCTTTATAAAAAAATACCTTTACAATGATCACTGCGAAAATCACTTTCATACTCATATACCAGTCTTATTTCCTAAAATATAGCAAATGTTTGACACCGTGAGTGTATTGTCAACGTTCACAAACTTATCAAAGGGTGGACACATGATCAATCCAACCTCAATCGGAGTCCCATGACTACCTGGCCTTCTGGAATGTGCTCATCTTGAAGTGACGCAAACATCAGATGGTCATTACGCACGTTTCAGAGGAGCTCATCAGAGATGTACTATGTTTTACACAAACTAATCGGTTCAAATAACGCGAATTCTAAACATCTCATAAAACAACGGAAGTCACAAATACCGCCGACAGTGCATATATATTGGTGCTGAGAGTTTCTGATGTACATAGGAAATCATTACCTGCTGCTCCTCATCTACTCAACACCTTTCAGGTCCTCATCTGTGGACAGATAGCGTCCTAATGCAAAAAGAAAACAAACGGCTGCCAACGGACTTTACTTCGGTATCATGAAACCTCAACGAAAAGAAACCTGTTGAACCTGAACAAGTAAACTTATGTGAATCATAAAAAGAAATTTCACATGTGAGTTATTTTGCACTATTTCCATTGATTGAGCTTCTTGCTGACATGTTGCTTACCACCATAGCACGACCAACATACAAGAATAGTCAGCCTATGATTTCCTTATTCGGAAATAGGAAAAACACACTGATACTACACTTCAACAAAGAACAATCTTGGATGTATTACGGTGCTAGATTGCCTTCAATATATGTATATATATATAAATATATATATATGCTGGCTGGAAAGGAAGGAAGCTTTAGAAAAATGAAATTCTCAAAAATCGAATAAAGTCATATACTACAAGAAATCAGTAAATCGCAACACATTCATAAATATCAAACAACAATGATTAACTTTCAGCACGATTCTGTTACATTGTACAAGTTCATGTTAACTTTGTGCGTTCAATTCAATTTCCTCTAAAATTAGAAAAAGCAATTAGCAGACAGATATCTATAGACGACATGTAAGGGATCTTCAACCCGTTAGGCAGATAGACGGTTATCGACGTTAAACAGTCAAAATTCCATTCTTAATTTATAAGAATGAAAACAAGGGATCTATCTCAAAGGCTTGTCATAGAATACACTTGATGTCATCTACAACAGTATTAACATAAAATAATGTAGTCGCATAATAATAGTGATTCATACTACACAGACGTCCACAAAACATATATCTCAACCATTTAAGTGGATTAAATGTCACAACACTTCAAGATCATTTCTTCTCCCCACCACCACCACCACCACCTACTAATACTACTACTACTACTCCAAGTCTATCCGAATTCTCATAAACCATGGCATGGAATCCACGAAATGTACACTATACTAACGCACCATGTATGAGAAAGGAAAATGTATGTCAAGTTGATGATTCTATGTCACTATGATCAGTCTCTATTTGAATACATCTTCCATCTAACTCCTCAATTTTATGAATATATACATATATTGACTTATCAGTTTATTTCGCAAACTTTCAACCAACCAAAGTAATACAAAAGTATTTTTACTCAATGAAACCAGATTCTAGAGTAAACATGTTCACATCTCTGAAGGTAACACAACACGATAGTGACGCGACACGAAAATAATTCAAAGTTGAGGATGAAATATTAAAATGTCAGTCATTTCATCGACAACTCTCCCTTGTTGCACATCAATAAATTGAGTTGAAAAACAAACAGTCCATTAAGTACATTAATAAATCTCAGAGGAGCACAACGACGATATGTTGTGTAAGCAAAGCACTGTCAATAGATGAATGAAAACAAAGCAAGTCACATAGGCAGACAGTTTACTGCATTAAACGAGAGAATTATACGTTTCGGACGTCTTTAATCATGCACCACATTCAAAATCCTATTAGTAATTGGTGGAAATTAAACTATCGCACACTATTCAGCTTGTATGATAACAATCTCTACACTTCCCTCACACATACATCACCACACCACACCACACCACACAATCAACGGAGTTGAATGCTGATTTCAGGTCAAGAAATGTAGCGATTCTCAGACACCAGTAAGTCACCTTCATTTACAACTCAGGCCAGAAAACTACCTAAGCTCTCCACGCATTTGATGCTTTTCAGACTCAAACAGCTTCGGAATGACCATGAATCTTGAACGGTATATTAGTCAAGTCAGTCAGCCTATGGTCTTATCAAAACAGAATTGGTCCCTTTCTTTCTAAATTTACAAGGTTAATAAAATAATGATGCGCACCAGGCTGATGCAGTTACCGTTGATTTCCATACACTAAACAAGTTTCGTTATTCTGGCCGAAATAATTCCAGACTTCAAGTCCTAAATAAGGCCAATCTGTTTTACATCAAAATACAAACAGGTTTCACAACTCCAGAAGAAACCGAAAGACTGGTGCTCACACCCCATACAAACCGGAGTTGAATGGTAGCCAATCGTACTGCAACTCATGGCCATCGAAACTACTCCTCCTCAAGCTGCCTGTTCATCTTGGAGACCCTTTAACCTACCAGAATCTCTCGGAAACTCGTCTTCTTACTAAGTCTACATAGCAGACAGTGACCACATATTGCTCACACAGTCTCCACTTCCTTCCTTCTCGTCATCTACCGTTACTCAAAGACAGACATTACAAAACGAAAACTTTGAGTCAGCTCAGTTTCACACAGTTCTCACTCCTTTTCATGTTCAGCCGGAATCAGTCACACATCCAACAGTCTCAATGAAACTTCTAAAATCTTTAGAGTGCAGGACTCCAACTGTTGGTATCACTGTTTCCACAGTTGCAGTCGACAGGAGATAATCACATGTTTCATCAAGATGACTCCCGCTGCCGCCAGTGTCTAGTGATTTTGTTCAACCTTAAGAAATCAAGCTCAAGTATGAAAGCTGTGGTAGGACGGTTAAAATTCGAGTTCGAAAATCAACAGCTAGTTCAGAACCTCTAAACGGATACGAATATGTTTCAGTCGATAGTATAATAAAATAATCACTTTGTTTATAAACAACAGAGAAGAGATGAATGACAAAATTGAGGACGTAACAACGGACAAAAGCTTACCCTGAGCCTGTTACATAGCTGTGTAGTTGAAGGATGTTTGGTCCGTTTATAATCGAAATCCATTTTTAAGAAGAAAGTCATAGGCAGAACAAGTGAATCGTGGTGGTTGAAAGGAGGCATTCATTTTTGTGCTTGACCTGGAATGTTTTTTAGGTTCTGTTTGTTGTGAAGTTCCAACAGTTCCAATATTTGCAGTTGAATTCATTGTGTTGCTATTAAGTTGCTCTCTCTTTGATGATTTGGATGAAGATTGACTACCTTGTGAAGTCCGTTTTCTATTCGGATTACAAGTCTCTTCACAATCGTTCAACATATAAAAATGGTTAAAATTAACAGTGTTAGCATGTGTGTTTGATTTTGCAAGAAAATTAGAATCCCCGTTGAATGACTATTTGCATGATAACGGCGTAATACAAATAAAGTTTCTTCCCAGTAACTTTATATTCAATAAGCGAGAATAAGAAACCGATACGATAGAAGTGTAAACCAAGTTGTGTGGAAACCAGTGGCTGGAAATATTTGAAGTTTATTAGAATTCTAAAATACAAAATATGTCGGAAAGTGGATGGGAGCCACTTTTAACATATTAGTGATACCATGTGACCAAGTCACCATAGAGACTGCTACACAACTCACTCACATCAGGTATCATGAAAGCTTTCCAAAATGTAAAAGCGTGTCAGAGAATATACCTCCCTTATCACTGAAGTTAACGGATAAGAAAACGTCGACTAAACAAGTTAACAAACATTGACTTCATAGAACCGATGAATGAATGTTAAAAATGTTGGTTCCTTACGAATCACTTACTCACTACCGGGCAACAAGAAACGCATATATACTGCAGACAGGTGTTTATGTGCTTCCCGTCTACCCAAGGTATATTTTTTGTGAGATCCAAAAATATTCACGAATATCTTAGAAACATGTCTCTCTCCTACACATTTGCGAAGAACAGTCTTGAACTACTAATTGAAGAAAATGCGATAATTGTTGGTCTGCAGTACAAGTAATATGTTCTAACAATTTGCAGAGGGTGAACACTTCACTACTGCATCTAGGTGACGAACAAAACTCAGTCTGTCAGTACTTTTGATGTGGGCGGTAACAAAATAATACCCTCACAACTGTCAAAAGTGCTAACGTAGACATTTTACCAAAAATGACTTCATTCCACATTGATGAGACACTTCCATTTCTCCATGCGTTCTTGAACAATCCAATGATTTACCTGACCAGTCCAAACTTCTTCTCTATGAAGAGTAGCAGATTGACTGTAAGCGTGCTATTTCATATCCCACTTAAGTAAACAGAATTCCCTCCAGATTTCCATCTTTTTACATGGGTCAGGGTTAACCAACTGTTATAACGGTGTGTTAGCGACATATTGATTGTTGTCTATCCTGAATAGAATGAGCCTCCAAACAACTGATCCCTTGGATGTATAACACACAGGTAGACACAGAGGTCAGATTTAACTGCAACAACTACGAAAATATTTATTAGTACCAATGCACAGTATAGAAAACATCGTTTACACATCCAAAGAAATTTAAACCTTAAACTAATCATCAATAACCGATTGACTGTGTCATCATTCAAGATATTGATGATGACAATAATAGTTAGTCAGTTCTAACACTAACCACTTGTTTTAAACCATAAGCCATTGTCGCCGTACGCCACGATTACTACTGATAACTTGTCAGTCCGAAGGTCATCCTTCGCAGATCGTCTCACAAATACCAGACCTCCAGCTGTAAGCTAATAAAAGCAACCTATCCCAATCCATAAAGCCAAGTAGCAGTTCATTCCCCAGTTGCATGAGTCAACGATACTTGATGCTAACATATTAACTGCAGACGTACTGACGAATGTAACTTTGGCCGACTTCACAGTCTCAGGGATTGACTAGTTATCACGAAAACAGCTAAGTAACTCACAGTATGGAAACGATATAACCATTTCAGATGAAACAAAGCATTCCAAATATCCTGTTGACAGGTGAAGACATCATGAATACACTCCAGTTCTTGCCTAAAGCCCGAACAGGTTCCCCAGGGTTTGTTTCTCCCGATCACCACTCGGTCTACGCAGGACCACTACCTTAGTCAAGCTGAACCCCCGTGATTATCACATGAAGACTTGACTCCTTTTTTATACACTCCCATAATCAATCATTTACACCAGTTCCACGGATCCATCTCTGATTCACAGAAACCCCTTAATATCCTAGTTAACCCAAACAACACTTCATCATCACTTCACTCCTTAAGCACATCTGGGCTAATCCCATCATAAACCTACACTGAACATTTCATCATGATTATTGCAAAAATGCTTAATGGAAAAAAGCACATTTCTCACAACACAACTTATCAATTTGATAAGACAGTTTCCATACTGAAGTAATATGACAAAACACACACTCATACACACCACTGTAACTAAATTACTTTACTAGTCAGCAGAAAACAAAAGATACTTAACATATCACAGAAACAGTACTGCACATGATACCTTCGTTCATGGACTCAACCGAAAATGTATTCTTTCGAAATCAAAGTGAAAATTATGTGAATCATTACATACCTTTTCTCGCAAGTTTATTATCAACTGCGGATCGGGATTTTAAAAGATTTGACCTTAACTTCTTAGGTGATGTGATGCGCGTCGTGCTCGATAAACTGGAGCGCAAAGATCGAAGACGTTCACAAGTATTACCTTCAGGGTTTGACTGTTGTTGATCTCTTAAAGAAACGTACATAGCTTTGCGTAATTCTTGTTCTTCTTTCCATGATATACCTGGAACATTGTCCTATGAAATGTGAAAAAAACCAAAGTGAAATACTTCTGGACAAACAGTGTGATTACAAATAGAAGCGTATAATTGAACAGACATAAGTCAAATTGTTATTCGCAAGTATCATGCTACGCACAAGTAGACAATGTCACTTGTTATCTGTAACCAATTTCATTCACAAACGTCATGAAAATAAACTTGAAAACTAGTAGTGGCTTGTTGTAAAATTGACCACAATTCTCGCCACAAAATTCGGTCAGCTCTAGTCATGACAATACATTATGAATACAATAAAAACTCTAACCGACAATCCATCACTCTACAGCATACTCATTCTACGGCGATCACTCCAATCATCGTAGATGATGCATATTTTGTTCAAACTGAGGGCAAGGTGTCTTAACTGTCTTAGTTAGCAATTACGCAATATAACATGACAATACCGGATGCTTCAGACCTAAAAACGTCAAGTACACATGCAATGTACTACTCGAAATAAACCACTGCACAGGACATTTTTTTTACTTCTACCAACTGCTCATATAATTTAAGAGTATACAAAAGCATTTTTAACTCAAATGGAGGAGACTTACGTCACCAGACTTTGACAACTTACTCCTGGTTCGAGGACAGCCTTGCTCTGACTGTTGTTCGCGGCGAGCCATCTGAAAAAAAATGCAAATACCACGAGAAGTAAACGCCATATACTGCCAAAGTAACTACACAGATTATTCATCTTCCATATGAGTATTGCCTCATCATTTGCCTATTTCTCTTATGTGTTTTCAAATGGAAGCCTGCACAACAACATTAAACTGCTAATCAAATTCAACTATCAGTTGACAGATACAGTTTTATGTGTATCAATGAGAGACACTTATTATACGAAGACTGATGGCATTATCCGAAGATAAAAATCGATGGAAATACGTCTGAACTCGGAGCCAACTGCTGTTTACGCCAACAAAACCCACTCATACTTTACAAGTGATTAATTACTCTCAAGTGGAGACAAAACAACTCGGACTTTGCCAAGTAATGAATAACAACTCGAAAACACCATCTACCGTTAGGACACAATAATAAACGCGAAGTACTAGGATATACGTGTACGCTAGTTTGGTCAAACAGAGCACCACAACAACCTTTTGATAATGGGGTTTGAATGTCATAGCTGCAACAAACTTGAACTGAAACAAGACGGAACAGGATTCCCTATGCAAACAATGGAATACAACTTTGTATATTGACGAAGAAAATTTGGAAGTCGTTGCTGAATCGCAAAATCACTTTCGTCTTTCCTTGTTTAAAAACAAAGGTCATGCTGTTGACCAAGAAAGGTGTTGGCGTCAGCAAATTAATAATTAATTAGTAAATAGATCAAAGGATGACATATCAGTTCACTTTGATTTTAGTCGTTCTCCTTTAAATGAGGATAAAACTGAAAATAGCCATGGGCATCAAGTACATCGGACTGTACAACAAAAAGCTGGCGGCGCCTCTCGAAATTTCTTATGCCAGAGGAATGACTTTTATCTGTGCCGCCAAATTTCGCCGACGAATACTACATGAAACTGCCCAAAAGGCCAGAATGTATTTTTTAAAGCGTCTAGAGGGAAGACGATAATGTACACTAGAAACGAGCAAAACACACGAGTTATTTATGAAAACATGCTACTGGACACACTTATTACGGTCAAAAAATAATGCCGATCGTCTAAAGGACACTGGGTTGCAGACAATTAACTTTAAAATTAACAGACAATATGTATCGTAACCGTCTCAAGAACTAAAAATTACTAGTATTATTATATTCCTAACATTATACTCCGCCTTGTGACAATAAACATCTTTACAACTCAGTAATGTACAGAGACGTAACGATACTGAGATTTTAATGCCTCATAATCACACCATTAAATCTACTATCATGAACAGACACTTGCTATCTGAAATTCATCAATAATTTCCCAAGACTGTGTCGGATTGCTAGGCGAGACCTAAGCATCTTGCTACACAAACACACACACAAATTCGAATAATGTCTTCTCTCAGTAGACAACGGATTTTCCGCGTTTACAAAAACTCTGGTGAAACAACTACAGAAACACCAACCTTGCAGAGGCCGAAGGGTACAACAGGTGTTGGGTTTTGACATATGTCTATGATGGAGGTGATAGCAATGCATCAATACAACCCGGAAATCTGCATGTACAAAACATCAACTCAGCCTCTTTTTTAATTGTTCACTAGTAATCCTGATATCAATCTCACATGTTCCATTTGGTCAATACTCAATCTAATAACAGTTAAAATTCATCAGATTATTAATCTTTCACTGAGTCTGGACATAGAAATTTGCACAGAAGTGCAGATTTCCGGTGGACACGCTCCATGCACCACACAAATGTAGAGGAAAGACATTCACAGGAACTGTAGTGGGCAAAACTGTGAGACAGAAACTACAGGAACATGGAGAAACACAGGGGTCCAGTGGGTAAGGGAGATCACACAGTGGATGAACCTGACAGTTACCTTTGACCATATCATGGATATTCTCCAGCCATCGATTCTTAACATCCAGATAACCCTAACCACGTGGCCTACACCCTCATCCTATGTGGCGCATATCACACTATGCAACAATCGAACCCCACTCGTTGTGGTCTAAGCACAGGAAGCCGATGTCTGCGTCCAACAGTATAGCTGACGAGACTTCCTTGAGACAGTCACAAAACGCCCTAAATAAGGAAGTCGGTGATTATTCTTCGGAGAATTCGCGATCCGACTAATGAGCAATAACATCAAAAACTCAAAATTACCTCAACACTTCTGTCAGGCACCTATACAGCTGATGTATGTGGTGAATCTAAACTACAGCAGCCAAAAACGAAACTACTCAATGAACGGATTGATGACTTTGGAGAATATATTTACAGGAATTCACTTAACCTGACTATGAGGACTCCTGTGAGAAATCAAGAGGTTGCTTCGGAATTTATACAAGAATATTATTCTGTGTACTTCTTTAACATGACATCACTTGTGTATAGACTTCTATTCGAAATGATATTTATATTATGATACGCACTTCCACTTATGATCTATCTGATTGGTCGCTAGAGGTAGTTTCGTTTTGGGCTGACATAGCTTAGAGTCACCATGCATGTTGCTAAGTAAAAGAAAAGCACTCTGAAACCGACAAAATATTCTCGCATACCTAACGTGAAAAACCCCGACTTTCAAGAACACCACACAAGAATCTCCCGCGATTGTACAAGCGTAAGGATGACCGCTACTCGCTCAAACAAAGTCGAATGGTACAGTACAAATAAAACGATCTTGGAAAAGATCACTTGTTTTTGACAGCAGATAGCAGCATTCTATCCGCCTTTTCAAGAGGCATAATAACGTGAGTTATATTGAGATAAGGCGTAGAGTGTTAGTTAAGGAGGGCAAGTTACTCCTCGATGTCGTGAAGCTGCACAGTAAACTAACTTTGATCAGAATAAACTGATTTAAAATTAATCTGTAGACTTTTGGAGAGTATGACACAACAAAAGCCAAAACTAAACAAGAGCGCGTAAAATTCATTTCCTTTTCAAAGTTCGCGCGATAGCGGTTTCAAGTGGCCTTAGATTTGGGGGAAGATTTAACTGAACGCGCGCTCCTTGAATACGACGTGACTTTTTCCTCTCTAACCGAAAAATACCTATTTTGTGAATTATCCGCTTGGGAAACCTGATCTTCCTAGCCGGGGAATTAAATTCAACCATTACTTACATATCGAATCTCTGTGTGGTAAGTCCAGCTGTCTCGAACTACTTCCAAAGCTTCAGGTGCTATTTTTGTAGCAGCATCTTCCTCACTCGTTCAGATAAACAAGACTTGTTGGTCTACCACGTGATTGCTGTGAAGCCGATCATCCAGAAAGTACTAGGTAAAGTCGAAAACCTTTTTTTTTCCTTGTCTTGTACTTTTTCAGTCTTATTCTTGTTCTTGTGGGTAGATACTCTTAAGCACTCTTATGCTTAAACAGCATAAGTTTTAGCGATAGTTAATATGGCTGTAGAAAGTAACCTTAGAAATGGCACCAAAACACCTTACTCTATAGTCACAAGGGCTTCAGCCAGAGAAGGCAGAAACGCAGGGACACCAACCCCAAGTCGCATACACATCCTAAAGACCCGTGTAGGACTCGTCTGTCCTGATACTATGCCTGCATTACCACAGTCTAGTCCTGAAACGGCGCAGGCAATACTAGTAGGACAGGATACTTCACCTGCACCAACTGAAAGCCAATGTGTGAAGTACAACAAACCTAAAAGGAAACGCTCAAGACGTCATAAGACATCGAAGGCGTCACCAAGTAAGGGAGACGAATGTCAGGCGTGCAATATCATTGTTTCTAAAGCTGACTCAGCTTTCGAATGCAATTTTTGCAAACGGTGGGTGCACTGCCGTTGCGACAAAGAGGTACCGAAATCATACTACGAGTTTATGAGAAATAACCCGTGCCCGTGGTTTTGGTACATCTGTCCATTGTGTCGCCCTGGCGTAGTCACACAGAGCGTGTCTGCGGTTAGCAGAAACAACACGCCGCCCTTGTGTCCCAACACGGTCTTGTGTAGCTCCACACCTGCTAACATCACATTGCCAAAACTTGGCACAGACAGTAAGAAGGACACTCCAGTCCTACTGACTGAAAATGCCAATTTTCACAAGGTGAAGATTCACAAGGTTGGACCTAAAACTTCGAGGAAAGATAGAATTAGAGAAGCGCCACTTGCATCCACAAGCAAGCTTGGCAACACAATAAAGGCTGGATAGAACCCGATGAAGCCTAAAGTTGCTGATGCTGCAAAGGAATACGAGAAGCCAAAGGCCAAACCTAAGTCTGAGGATAATCGGTCTAATTCGCTCATCCTCTTTAAAGTACCTGTGAGCAAGGACAGCTTGCTTGAACAGCGGGCCCTGTTTGATCAGGAAGAGTGGTCTAACCTGTGCAATAAACTAGGTCTGAATATTAATTCAGTGAAATTGTGCAGGCTGTACAGGGGTGTCCACACACCTCAAGGTAAGCCACCCCCATTACGGGTTACACTGGACTCTGCCGAAGAGGCCGAAAAGGTACTATTGATGGCTCAGGTACTAGCCATCGACAGAAGCTCTAACATAAGGGTGAGACAAGACAGACCATGGGCTGTCAGACAAATGGCGAGGGAGTCACCGGAACTTTTGCCTTCTACCTCTATGGTAGTACATGATGTTCCGGAGCTGGAAACGGGCACTGCCTGTGAAAAACACATGCATGACGTACAGCAGTGGAGATGGCTGTCGTCTCAGATGGCCCTTGGCGCTTCTGGAGCCATCTCCGTTTACCGACTACCTCGTCCCGCTCATCTCACACTGATTAGCTCCCCAAAGCTGCTAAGTGTCACATTCAACTCCCCAGAGCAGTTTGCCATAACACTTCAACGTTGGTATGAGATCAAGGGGAAATTGGGAGGACACATCCGATGCTGCGAAAGCAGACCTCGAACCATAAGGAGGCAGCAAACGGAGGCTTTTATACGTCCCCAAGCTTCAGTGACACTCGAGCGATGCAGTTCTGAGAATAACAGTCTGTGCCACCCAAGTGTCCTGCCTAAATCCAAGGGAAAAAACCACAACGGGCCGGTTCCATCGGGACTGGCCAACTAGTCCCAACACTAAGTTCCCTATCAGCAGACAGCTTCACGTCAACTACCCCACAACACGCTGAGGTTGTAAGACTCACTGTCAGCTGCCTGTATAGCAATGTGAGGGGGCTGAGAGTAAAAATAAGTGAACTCTGAAATCTCCAAGCACACTTACAACTGAAAATGATCATTCTCACCGAAACATGGCTAACCCCCACTATCGCCGATAATGAAATCAGTATAGATGATATGGTTTTGGTCAGGAGAGACAGGGATAATAAGGAAGGAGGGGGAGTTACCATATACTTTGATAGGCAACTTAAATGTGTGCGCGCAACGGACCCACCACTTATTGAACTCCCAGACTCCATATGGTGTCATTTCACCGTAGGCCACACCAAGCATTTACTTGGTGGCATCTACCGATCTCCCACCTGTGGGGCAGGGCACAATCAGCTACTGCTCAGCACTATCACAGGGATACGAGACTTGGGCTATGACCAAATCACCATTGCTGGAGATTTCAATGCCCCATCACTGAACCTTGGCTCGGGGTATGCTAAGGGAAAATTCGGCCGAAATCTACTGCAAGCTATTCGGAACACGGGACTGACTGAGAACGTTGGAGACGACACTAGGTGGGGCCCTAGTGGAAAGTCATCAAAACTAGACTACATTCTAACTAGTGACCAACTACTCGTCGAAAAGGTCCAGGTCATGACTCCTCTAGGAAGTAGTGACCATGCAGTCATAGGTTTCGACCTCGTTCTCCGTGAGTACTTGCAGTGGGACGCTGCGCAACCATGTCTGTGTTATAGCAAGGCTGACTATGCTGAAATGCGGAGGCTCTTGTCCGATGCAGACTGGCCCTTAGCATGGGATGAGCTGTCTGTAGATGAACACTGGGAAACGGTAAAAAAGATTATTCATACAGTAATCTCGGATACCGTCCCTTTAGTCACAGCACAGCCCAAAAGAAAATCATCATGGTTAAAGAGAGGCACGCAGCGTATTCTGCAAGCAAAGCGGAAGGCTTGGTTTACGTGGCGCGTATGTAAAAGCCAGATCGACCATGATGCATACCTGGAACTCAGGAACCGGTGCAATGCAAGAGTCAGGAGGTACAGAAGGTCATTCCACGCTAACCTTGCTAAAAACTCCTGGCAAACCCGAAGAATTTGTACCGATTCATGTCGGAAAGGAAACCAACCAACCAAGGGGCTTGCGCCTTAGTAGGCCAAAACGGTAAATATCTCACTAGTCTGGAGATGGCTGAAACTTTCAGTTTAACTTTCGCCAAACAGCTAAACAGCAATGTGGGTATTACCGTTACGAACCAGAATGGTGGTATGACTGTTTCACAGGAGGAAGACCAAATAGCCACCCCCCAAATAGACCCTGCAATAGTACTGAGAAAGCTGCAGCGACTCATACCTGGGAAGCCCCCAGGTTGTGATGACATCAGGCCATCTGTTCTGAAACAGTGCGCCGAAGCTCTCTGTAGGCCTTTATGCGACTTGCTCCAACACTCCATGGAATCGGGGAAACTGCCAAAGGAATGGAAAAGAAGCATCCTTTCTCCGATCTTCAAGGGTGGGGATAGGCAAAATCCCACCAGTTATAGACCAGTAGCTCTACTCCCAGTGGTATCGAAAGTACTGGAAAGTATTATTGATGATCACATCAGGGAATATCTCGATAGGTCTAAAATACTCCATGAAGCCCAACACGGTTTCAGGAAAGGAAGATCCTGCGTCACTAACTTATTATCAGCTTGGGACGACTGGACATCATGCTGGGATATGAATGTTCCTGTCCATGTGATCTTTCTAGACTTTGAGAAGGCATTTGACACTGCTCACCATGACCTTCTCCTACACAAAATAAGCCAGGTAGGTCTAGGTAAACCACTTCTGTCATGGTTGAAGGACTACCTAACTGAAAGGCAATTTTGCACTAAGGTCAATCGAGCCCAATCATCTTGGCACAGATCGTCATCAGGAGTGTCGTAGGGTTGTGTCTTAGGATCACTGATGTTCTTGATTTTTATCAACGATCTACCATGTCGTCTAAGCTGCCCGACTCTTCTATACGCTGATGACGTAAAGATATGGAGGGCAATAAAGTGTCCGGAGGACTCAGATAGACTGCAGGCAGATCTAAGGCTTCTGGAAGACTGGGCGGTAACCAGTGGCATGACTTTTAACCTGAAAAAGTGCAAAGTAGTGAAGTTACGCACCTGTAGACTGCAGAATGCAAGTTACACCCTGTGCAATGAAAGCTTGTCCTGCTCAACGTCGGAACGCGACTTAGGTCTAGTTCTAACGGAGAAAATGGACACAAGCGTAAATTACACGAGGGATGTAGCGAGGGCATATGCGGTCATACACTTTATACATAGACAATTAGGTGCACTCACTCCTGAGCTCTTTCTAAGGTTGTGTAAAACATACGTCAGATCGCATCTTGAAGTGCATAATATCATTGCACCCCAACTGCTTAAAAGAGACGCCAACCTCTTGGAAAGAGTCCAACGACGGGCAGAAAAAGGAGTGGTTGGTCTCCGAAATAAACCATATGATGAAAGGCTGAAGAAATTAGGCCTATTAACACTTAGTTACCGTCGTCTTAGGGGGGATTTAATTACTGCCTACAAAATAAAAAATGATCAGAATCACCCAAACAAAGGTGTTCTGCCATTGAGTAGGTATAGGCTCCCTCGTGGAAATCCTAGAAGGATAGCTCATCAGAGGGCGAGGACCCGGGTGCGCTCCCACTTCTTTTCCCTGCTGGTTTGCCGTCCATGGAATTCCTTACCGGCAGATGTAGCTATGGCACCATCTGTGGACGCCTTTAAGCGAAGGCTGGACAACCATGCAGCGACACAAGGACTGCATCCAAATGGCCTATCCCCTTAAAATCGCATATACCATTCAAAGGTAGACAATTAAACTGGTAGTTTTACTTCTTCACATTCCCTTCAGTCCTACTCTCCTGACAGCTTTAACTACACCTATTATTATTATTACTGGTATATATATATATATATATATGTATACCAGTTGACTGACTGTTGTTACGTTTTCTTATTCTTTCTCTGTCTGTTAGTCTGAATACCTTTACTAATTATATCTATTATGATTATTATCTCTTTTCCATTGACGACGATACCGAAGGACTAACTGGTGAAAGGATCAACTCCATTCACAGTAGTAACAGTCTTAACACACTTCATGCTAAAAAACCCCATATAATTAACCCCAGCACTACTCCTGTTGGAGTCAACCAAAGCTACTACAGTCGAGTGGCGGGACGAGCTACACAGACGTTTACCGAAGATCAGGAACCTCTACCTCACAATCAAGAGGCGAGCACAAAGAAATCAAATTGGTTTATACTAAATCGTAAAAACGATATTGGATATTGGATGTAATATTATGATTTCATAGACATAAATCAGGCTCATACGTGAAAGTTATTATCCTGTAATAAGGAAAAGTTGTTCAGAAGCTAAGGAGGACGTTATTTTTCAGTTTATTTGTGTATATACTATTGTGCACCGAGTTGCACTGAGTTCTTAGTGCAACTGTATGTAACTGCATTTACACCAAAATGAAACGTTACGAATGCTCCTGTTTCTAGAATAAAAAACATTATTATTTTCATTAAGTTTAGTAATGAAGAATGGAATTTCTTCGACGTCAATGTTATTTAATTGAAGTTGTAATGTGTGCACAGATTATTTTGTGACCTTGACGGAGTTTGAAGGAGGTTGTGTTGGGCTGGTTTCTATAATTATGGTGGCTACGTTTTCTTATATAATCCATATTGTGTAAAGAAAGAGGATAACAGTAAAATAATTTTGTTCTTTTTGTTGTTGCTGTTGTCCATGGAATTTGAGAAGGCAAAAGTTGTTGTAGGCGGTGATTCTGGAGTTGGTAAAACAGCCCTAGTTCATTTAATTTGCAATCAACAACCTCTTCTAAATCCATCTTATACAATTGGTTGTAGTGTGGATATTAAAGTTCATCTGTGTAAATCGGATCCAACAAAAGAACGTCCATACTTTATTGAATTATGGGATATTGGCGGGTCGAATGGACATGCTAATACTCGATCAATATTTTATCAAAACTTACACGGATTAATATTAGTCTATGATTGTACAAATAGTAAATCACAAGCAAATTTAAGAAAATGGCTATGTGATGTATTGGGAAAACAAATTATGAAAAAATCAGAATCAGCTGATTTGGGAGGAGTCAGCAGTGGAGGAGGAGCAACAACAACAACATCAACCGCAACAACAGCTGGAAGGAGTGGTGGTGGTACCGCTTTCTTAGTCAGCAGCAGCAGTAATGGTGTAAAAGTCAACATGACCACTAGTCAAATGGCGAGTTTACTGCCTATTCGTAGCACAGAGAACAATATAGTCAATCGTTTCTTTTCACCAATTGAATCGCTAACAAATAATAATAATAACAATAATATCAATGATACAAGAGATCAAATCTATCCACCGGTCTTAGTAATCGGTACAAAACTCGATCTCCTTGGTCGACGTAGTCTACGATCATTGCGTAGAGTTACTTCACGTTATGATGAAACAACCGCAACGCCTTCGTGCATGTTGTCATCAAGCTATCAGCATCATCATCGTAATGAAGGCGTGTCGCCTGATAATAACTACTCTTATCCAAGTATTATGATGACGCCTAAATCGCGTATCTCATCTGTACAGTTTTTTGAAGATACACCACAATCATCGTCATCATCAGCTTCGGTAGCCTCATGGAATTCAACATATCAACATCAAAATATCTATCGGAATAGTAGTCATCATCAACTGACTACAGCATCGGTGCCAAGTCCAGGCTTTCAACATCAGCCACAAAGTCAGAGTGTTTATGTAGATTTAAGTGATAGTCGTTTATCGTCAAGTGTATTATCATCAAATAGTGGTTGTAATAATAAAGTATGGAATTTTGCTGCGGAACAAGGTTTTTCAGAAATTCTACTGAACTGTAATTCAGTCGCGAGTGTAAGTCCTGGTAGTCCACAGGATGCTGTGCTGGATCGATTTTTCAACGAAGTGATCAGCTATAAAAAAATGTTGTCAATGTCAATGAACTGTAAACCGAAAGTGATTTCAGTTTACTAAATCTTACTGACTTCCTTTATAAATTTGATACTGGTCAAGTGTTTATTTAACATCTGGAGTATTCAGTAAAGTAAAAGTTGTAGTGCATAATTCCTAGACTTGTTGTATTCATTGGTATTGCCAGGATACCACTTACTCATTTTATGCAGCCGAAATATACAAATCTCGCTTTATTGAGGGAACACTATATTGCCTGCCAAAGTATTTCGTCAGTTAATGAGTTTCATAAATTCTACAGAATGTTTTCTATTCAGTGATTACTGTTTGCGAATTAACCCAGAAAACATTTCCTATTGGGATGTAATACAAGGCTGAATTCTTAAACTGTCATCCTTATATCGTTTCAATCCAATCACACGTGTATCAGTAGGATAGTCTATAGACTATCCTGATGCTGGAAAATATCAAAAGAATACCGGTGTTTGATTATAGGTGTCTGTGTTCTATCTCATGAGTAAAGCAGTATAATATGGCGATTGCTATTGACGCTACGCATAAATTTTTATGTGGGTAGGGTTAGTTAGTCTTCAAGGTTGGGAAGCTGAATAGGTTGAGATGGCTATAACACGTGATGGCATACCAAGCCATCGCCTTCCTCGAGGGATAATGTTAGTCAGCACATGTTAAGGTTCAAGATGTGTTTGGGTCGGTCAAATGAAAAACTGCTATTGGTTCATAAAATCGTTGACAGTCAGCTAGAAGAACTACTGGATATATGTCTGCAAGTCTTTGTTTACGGCACAGATGCATTCACTCTGTGTAATCTCAGGTATCTATTCAACTCATGTTGTCACTATTTATTTTCCTTCCAATTTTCGCTCGTTAAACTTCCATTTAGTTTTATGTCTCTATCTTTGTGTGGTGCATGGAATGTAGTAAACTAAGCTGCTGGACTTCTTCGCGAAGTCATACTGAAAGACAGGCAGAATGACACAGACCAGGCATAACTAAGTGCGAAACACTGAATAATGATCTCCAGAATGTCAACAAATGATAATTGCAGTTCTTAATCTTGTTCTTTGCTAAATGACAAATAGATACCTTTCAGTGATCTCTTCTTCCACCCGGGACTCGTCTCCCACTTCGCAAGTGTTTTTTGTGCTTTATCACTTTTGTGCAAAGCTTTCAGTCATTCAGCATATGCCGTTGTTGACTAAGGACGTAGATGACATTGGTTGAGTAAGGTTTCGGTCGTGCAAGCACGAGTCCTGTGCAGGTGATTGGTTGCATTATCATTTCTCAAATGGAATGCAGCATACTGTATATTAAGGTAAATCTCCCGCCTTGCTTGCTGAAGCTGGTGTTCCTCAGGGTATATTTATCTCTCCTTTTCTTTTTCTCTCTCGTCTTACATGACATTCCTCTTTCTAATAAGACCAACTTCGTCAAATACGCTGGTGATCTGACCGTCTCACTTCCTGTCATGTTACAATGTGGCTGCAGCAAAATTAACTGCTTCCTGTCGGTAGTCTAAGGTACATGATCTTACGTTAAATCCCTCTAAATTGCAGGCAGTTATTTTTCCTTTCACTCTTAAGCGCGAACTACGAGAACTGTGTCGTTCACAAGATGCTTCTATCAAAGAGGGCACTGAAACATAAACTAAGTCTAACATGAAATACCTTGGAGTAGTTCTATCCTCTGGTCTTTCTTGGTCACTCTATATCTTGTCGATTTCTACGATAACCTTCATTGCAGCTTACCACGTTATGTAGCCAAGACAATCCTGAGTCATTCAACCTCTATTTTTACAATTTGTTAACTCTTGCATTGGTCTTTACTTCTCCGCCTTATTCTTTCCTGAATTACTCAAAAGCGGCTATGTCATATTGTGCAGGGTATTAAGATTATGATGAGGGCAACTCGTTAATGCATTAGTTGACATCTAAAGTAATGCGAGAAATGGTATAAATCAATACTGTCTAACCCTCAACATCCCCTCTATTCTCAGCTCTTCCCTTTAATTTCATCTGATGGAACCAGAAGTCAGTATAAAAGATTGTATGGTCGTTCAACCAAGCGTGGGAACTCAGTGATACCACATGTAGACGATCAGTGTTCTATGTGGCAGAGGCGACGTAAAGCGTAAGACTTATGAATTACTGTTGTTAGGTAAATAAGTGGCCCTTTTATTATCTACTTTTAATCTACGGTGACACTACCTCAATTAACTGACAATTTCAGTTACCAACCCTATTATTTACAATTTCTTCTGGTTAATAAATATATGTATGTGATTTCACTGTCACTACTAATACCAAATATGAAGTGTCCTTAACAATCCTGTAATGCAATCTTTACAACTGTTTCGAATATTACTTCATAAAATTAGATGCAATAATGTACGGGATGCTGCAAATTCAACACTGTAACATTAATACTGTTTTCGAACAAAGCAAATTATTATTACTGTTGCACCTCACTGCAGTGTTAATCTGCTTATACCCTTATTATTGCCGTATCCTAAGTATTGCATTCATTTTCTCAATTTCTTGCACTGTGTAAATAGGGTGCAACGAAGAAGCAACAGTGAACTATGAGGAAGTAACGCCGACGCAAGAAATAGTAGCAGTCAAAAGAAATGAAATGAGTGGAAGACTTTGTAATAATACTAGTAATCTCCTTTATTCCAAAACAGTACTTGACTTATTTACCTATGCATTTTAACTTGTCTTCTAATTATCTTATTTTTGTCTTTGTAGACATTGCCTAAGATGCCGTTGTACGGATCGTCTGGAAGCAGCCTTTAATTTCATCTACCTTCCGCAAAGTTTGTCGTACGAAACGTCGAAATTTTACTGACTGGGAAACGCTACAATTGCTATTTATGTAACTGATGCAGCGATACCCAAGACTAGACACGTTATAGCAACGTATGCTTGTAATAACATTATCTACATAGTAAATACAATGCTAATTACAAAAACTCGTCATTATCTTTTCATTGTGTACTTACAAGAAAAGAAGCTTACCTTACTTCTCATACTAAGTACCGAAGATTCCGCCTAGCACTCACTTCTACTTGCTCTCTATAAAATGCTTTCTACTATATTCGCAAATGACTATTAAACTTTTGTCACATGAAACGGTAAAACATAAGGCGTATGCAGTTTAGAAGTTAGGGTATATTTGCAGTTATTGACACAAAATATATGTACATCTTCCACTTTCAGACAAGAAAAGTCTCAAAGTGATTCAGGATTGCGCGCAGTGCACTAATCGTGTATTCATTACTAAAATTATCTTGCATAACTGCGAAGCTTCTGTTCAATTGCCGGCGAAGTTGCAGTATCTCCCTGCAGGGTTTCTTTAGTGAACCTTCACACGGCACACTACTTGGTAGTAACGGATCCCGCCAAAACCATCTGCGACACAGGCGAATTACTTTGTCAACTAAAAGTATTGATTTAAATATCAGTAAGAGTTTGATTTACCTATAAACTGAGGAATTTGAGTGTGACACAGCAGCATATGCCGGCAAGGTATTCTTTGTACCCTAAAAATTCTGCAGGTACAAGTTGAATTGGTATAATCCACTTGGTGAAGGTATATGCCGTCATTTATGATAGCCATATCATCAGTATACAACTCTATGCTCATTCGACGATTACGGCTATAGTCCTTGGCAATTAACTTAGCGGCATAAGGAGTGAAGTTTCGTAATATCGGCATAACTGGTTCTGGTGCGTGGTACTAATGAATCCGACAACTTTCGACGATGACTTCAACACCCCGACGCTTTTCTGTGTGTACACACCATTTATACGTCTTGTACATACATACGTGTAGGGGATCTCTTCTGTGGAGATATCGTTTTAGGTGAATGTGAGAGCTTTCAACTCTATTGTTGGCACTATTAAACAGCAACAGAGTATTCGGCATATATGCCTCAGCCCACGTCTCCTTCTTAGGCACCCAGTAATGCCTGACAAAATTCCATACCCTCCGATCAACCGTCCTAATGACGCTAAGGTAGTGATGAAATCTAAATGGTTAGAAATCAGTGCATTTACCTTTCAGGTGTCGCAGCTTTAACAAGACGATATAAAAACCTGCGTACAAGAGGATTTGGAGTCTAAATGCATCAAGTATTAATTAAATTCACCCCACCTTCCTGCTGAAAGCCCGGCATACATGAAATGCACAGATGACGATTTTCGCCTGAATGTGACTATTACGCACGGCGGATATCTCACTTACGAAAGTTTCTGTAATGGACGTACCCTGAATTATCCTTTGAATTGTTCCAAGATCCAAGCTACATTACACGACCTTTCTCGTCTCGTCCATGCCAAAAAACAGGCCTGCCATGACCCATATTGTCTGTTACCACCAACTGAAACAGAGAATATCTGATTAAGATTTTTCAACCGTTTCACCTATAACCCACCTGTCCTTATTGCTATTGTATGTTGAGTCAATACACACCACCTCACCATATTTCCGATATAACTGCACCTGTGAATCCAGGGCGAAGCAAATTCTGCTGGTTATCCCTGTATTAGAATCTACGTATTCAACCACCTGACCGCTTTGCCTTATTATGCGCATAACGTCTGATCTCAAAGGCATGGCTTCCAAAATAACTTTAAACTACACCACTTACCTGGTCTCACATCCTTACGCAAATTATACACATCTGTGATCGTCAACATTTTATTAAAATTCTCTTCAGCATATTCCAAAACCACCAACATCATATGAAGTTTTCACAACAGGTGCAATATTCTCCTTTTCATCCCCGGACAGGCGTCTAAAATATGGATCACCTATCATAAGACTTTGTTCACATCTGTGATTGTGAACTGTTTTCGCGGAACAAATGATAAACTCGTCCTCCTTGTAGCATGTACGAAAGCCAGATTGGCAACCGGTGTATTTTGCACTGCAGAAATAAACAAGAGAATTCTTACGGTTTGATGCGCAAACCTGAACCTCTAGTTTTTCGCTTCAAGCCATATGTACAACGAAAGACTACTAGTTTGTACTTCAACTCCGGA